GGAAAAGAACCAAGGCAACAGGGGCAAACACCTACTCTGGTCCTATAAATAACAGACTGTACACTCAGCATTTGGGGCTGCCCAGCCTAATGTGCTGACTGAAGGCCACCCAGGCTCTGAACAATGAGCTAACTCACGAGGACTTAAGTGAGAAAGGGGGAGACAGTCATGAGTTCTGTTGGCTGCATTGATTGCCAGGGAACCATCCATCCATTCATTCTGAAATATTGTTATGCTTGGCACTGTCATGGGCCAGGCTGCAGAAGGGAGTGAAGAGTAAGATAAAAATACAAGGGTAAAGGAGATTCCATGTGGCCGCCAAGACGAATATAAGGTCTGGGGTAAAGGGTTACTGCTGAAGGCCAAGATAACAGCAGCCTCAGCAACAATACCCACATTTGGGATGGAGAGTAGAGAGGGTAGGGCCAAGCATCTCAGGATACCAAAGGCTCCAGGGGTATCAGGGTAGGCCCTACCTTGCTCTCCTCCCCCTTTTTTCCCCTCCCCCTCCCCCCTTCCTTCTCCTCCTCCTCTTCCTTCTCCTTCTTTTTACTGCAGTCAACCAGAAAATTCTGGAAGCATAAGCAGATAGGTTTTTGCTATCTATATATTCACAAATATTATTTTCAATCACACTTTATTACATAGGATACTTCTTTGGCAAGAGTAACTATTTGAAACATATCCAAAGAAACAAGAAGTAAGAAGAAGAAGAAAAAAAAAAACCACCTATGAATATCCAAGATAGCATAGAGTTTGACTTAAAATTGAAGTACTTCATTTCTTTAAGAATTCCTTAGACATTCAACTTTCAAAGCCTAGTGATTGTAAGGCAATCAATAGCATTCCCCAGATCATAGAAGAACCAAAAGAGCAGACAAGGCAGTGACAACTGAAAAATGAGAGCAGAAGAGGAGACTGAAAACTAGAAATTAGACACAGTAATTGAGAAAGCTTACCTCTTTGGGCATAGTTTAATACAAGGACAAACCGGCATCACTGTATTACAGGATGGTTCCTGTTTACAATAATGTCCGATCCATCATTAAAAATTTAGTTATGATCACTAACTCTATTGAAGTATGCAGGGATGCATTTTAGGAAGATCTATTTCCCAAAAGACCAAAGTTAAAAATAAAATATTAGTTTAGTTCATAAAGGGTACATTTTAGGCAGTTTATATATAGAGTTAACCCTCACCCCAGAGGACTTTTTTTCCATTGATTTTTTTTTTTTTTTTTTTTTTTTTTTAGAGAGTGGAAGGGAAAGGTGGGGAGAAACATAGAGAGAAACATTCATGTGAGAGAAATACATCAGTTGGTTGCCTCCCACACACGTCCCCAACTTGGGTGGAGAACCTGCAACCCAGGTATGTGCCCTTGACTAGAATCGAACCTGAGACACTTCAGTCCATATGTTGATGCTCTGACCACTAAGCAAAATAGCCTAGGGTGGCTGTTAATATTTTTTGAACAATTACTTGTGATAAATTATTTTACATATAATCTTTCCTTCAGTCCTTATATGTGAATATGATCCCCTCACATTGGGCTGCTCGTTGCGAGTGTGTCGTGTGTGTCTCCGCCGCCCCCCCTCCCCCCGCCCCCCCTGTCCTGTGTGGTTCAGGGTTTGGGCTCTGAAGGAGGCCACACACAAATAAGAGACTAGACAAGAAAATATTAATTAATTTGGGAATTGGGGGCCAGGCAGAAGCCCAAGAGAGGACTACCTTTTGCTCTGGCCTTGCTATCCCTTTTATTCAGGTTTTGGGATACATCCATAGCAATTCCAATAATAACTCGATGATAGCCCATCACCAAGGATTTACATAAGACTAAAAGGTGGAAGTTGCTTCAGCTCCCTTTGTCTTCAACTAGACAGTGGGTGCATGGCTCTGACCCTTGCCAGAGCCTCAAGGTTGACCAGCCTTCCGGACTCCTTGTCCACCTCTTTCTGCTAGGGAAGGCAATGGGCAGCTTCCAACACTTACAGCAGCCACAAGAGATCATAATCCTTATTCCCACTTTATAGAGGAGAAAATTGGTGCTTGAGGAAGTTAATTGACTTGCTTAGTCACAAAACCAGTAAAAGGCAGTATTGGCTATCAGGTCCAGTTTTGTCTTGCTTTGAAGGCTGGGTTCCTTAGATTTTCATTATCTGTTCCTCTTCTAGGTTTTAGGCTCTGGTCCTGAACACCCAGAAGTTGTAGAAAATCATATTTTTAAATATTGTTTTGAGCATTTTTGTTAAAGGAGTTTTGTTAGTAAGCTTTATTTCTTTCTGCATTCAATTATCCAAATTGATTTCTTGGATTCTTTTGTCTTTAAACATCTCAGCATCTCCCTGGTGTATGTACATAGGATGGGAAGCTGAGCTGATTTGTGTTGATTTAGCTTGAATGACTAACTGATATAAAATCCTTAGGGAAACATGCGATTGATTATTCAGCAGTAATAGCTAAATCTGGTTGGTGTTCAGTAACATTTCATTTTCTGCGCATGTACAAATATAAAAACAATGTTTAACTGTGACCTCAGCTTTAAAAAATGTTAGGCAGGTAGGCAGTCGTATGTGTTCCAATCCAAGCAAACACAGACCAGTTGAGCTAGAATATTAAAAAGTGGAGTGCTCATTGCAAAGTCTATATTCCCTAAGGTTTTGTGGGTAAGGCTTAAAGAGACTGCTTGCAAAACAAGAGTGATACCCATTGTGGGTCACTTCAGACCATTCTGCAGAGCAGTTCTCAAATGTTAAGCATGGAGTTTAATGTCCTGTGCAGGCAACAATTTCTGTTGCTTTCCTGAAGGTGGACTCCTAGCATAATAAAAAGATTTCTGTATAATAAAAAGAAAAATGGAATAGCCAAATTTGAAACCTATTTTTGTTGTTTACTAGCTACTAGTATATAAGCTAGCTGAAAATTTCCAGCAATTGGATTCTTATGCATAAAAATGGAAAGGATGATGGCATAATAATAAAAAACATCACACCTGCCCTTGCAACCCCATAGAGTCGTTGGCAGGATCCAGGGATGATATAAATGAATATGTTCTACACAGTATCATCATACAAATACGTAGTATTATTAAAATGGTAATTCCATTTTTACACGTGTTATATCATTGTTGATGGTTTTAATTTAGTTTTGTGGTGATCTAGACTGATTGTATCATTAGAATTTTATCGACTTGAGGGGGTGTACCTTTGAAAACGTTGAGGACTGTTTTAATTCCGTTTTGCTGTCTGAGTATCTGTTTGTCTGGGCCTGGACTGGCACGTGACTGGTATTGCGTTTCTATCAGTCCATAGCATCACCCTGCCTTCCTGAAATGCGCCAGAAGCATTTCCAGGTCTCTTTGGCCTTTAATTTTAGACCAGTCATCTGCACTGGGTCATCAGGATGACTTCACATTCTGAGCATGGTTTAATCTCCCAGGAGGAGATTGAAAACCTGGTTTTGATATCACACCTCATTCTACTGCAGATAGGAAATAGGTGAGACAGAGTACTTGTAGCATCAGGCTGCCACCTCACAGGAGCAGTAAATATAACACCTGTCCCCAGCAATGACAGGCCTGTGGCCGGCATGTGGGTGGGCCTTGCCATGAAGAGAGCAATGCTTTGCTTTCCAGGGAGGGGCAAAGTGCCACCATGACTCAGGCCCAGGCTCCGGAATCGGGCAGCTGTGTTATGCTGACCCTCCCTAAATAAAACCAGGTTCTTAAGCTCCAAAAGCTCCAGTTTTCTCATCTGTAAATAGAGATTATAATAACTAACACATGGTGATTGTCCATGGTAAATGAAGAAGTTTTACTAAGTTATATCTAACAATGTAACTGATTCTCTTGACACTGTACCATCTAATAGTCCTCTAAATAGTAATTGTACTACAGTATCAGTAAAACTTTTCTTATGTGGCAATTTATACCTAAGTGTTGATTTTTCTTTTTTCTTTTTCTTTTCTTTTTTTTTTTTTTAAACTGTGTTTTGAAAAACCTCACTTAAGCTGCTATTTTGCTCAAGATTAAGAGGAACATTGCTGCAATTTTGGTCAATTTCTAGATCTGTGTGGTATCTAATGAGCCTGTGTAGCCTAGTTAATTTACCAGCGTGTGTGTGTGTGTGTGTGTGTGTGTGTGTGTGTGTGTGTGTGTTGAGATTGTCATCTGGTGGTGGTGGCCTCCTTTAAAATCTCCACGGGGGCGGGGAGCGGTGGTAGGGACTGCTTTTGCTCCATGACCGGGGACTTGGGTTGAGAAACTCTGGCCTGGCCATTTGCAGTTTAGTGCAGTTTGTTGGTGATGAAACGCAAGAAAGAGAGGAGTCTGGGTGCCAGAGCGATGGCTAGCAGCAAGGGGTTCTCCTTGGGCTGCAGCCACTGGCTTATTAACCCTTTGCAGTAGGGGCTGCGAGGGAGCAAGCTCCAAAGGAAAGTGCAGGAAATCTTAGCTGACACTAGGACTGGGAGGGATGGGGGTGCGTAAATAGGGTGGGGCAGAAAGGCGCCAGCCGGGGTGATCCGGGTGGAGGTCGTGCTGTTGGGCGGGGAGACGGGACGGCGAGCTCCAGGGAGGAGGAGTGGCGCCTCCAGCCCCCTGGGCCGCGCGCCACCAGCCCGCCCCCAGCCCGCCCGCTGGCATCACTTTTCCACGCCCGGCGGCCCGGGTCGGGCTGGGCTGGGCGGCGCTGGGGGCCGGTCTCCGTGTCCCCACTTTTCCTGCTCCCTCCCTCCTCCGGGGCGTCCCGGCGGCCGGGCCAATGGGCGCCGAGAGGAGGGAGCGGGAAGCGGCGCGCTGGGCACGGCCCTCCCCCGGCGCCCCGGCCGCGGCGCCCACGCTAAGTTTGCGCCCCGGGAGTGGGGGTCCCTCGGCCTCGCCGCTAGGTCCCGGGAGAGAGTCGGTCGCCAGCCCCTCGGAACTGCCGCCCACGGGCGCACGGAAGGGAGGACGCGGAGCAGCTGCAGCGTGCGGGTCGGGGCAGCCGCCTCCCGAAGATGCGGGATGGCAGCCGCGCCGCCGGCCAGCCTCGCCCACCGCACCACCGGCTCCACCTGCCTGCACCCGCTCAGCCGGCGCCTGGGCATCCCGCTGGACCAGGTGAGTGCGGCGGGGCGCGCCCTCCCAGCCCGGGCGGCGTGGGGCTATTGGGGGGACACTAGCCCCTCTGTCCCGGCCCCCAGAGAGGATTCTCCAGCTGCACACTGGACAGGTGGGCAGTTTTTGGAGCTTGTTTTTAACTGTAAGTGTGAAAAAGATCATATACCCTGCACGACAGCTTCGACATAACTTTTTCTTTTCAGTATTTTAATATTTTAATTAAATATGATATAATAATATTATTTAAACTATTAAATAATAACTTAATATAAAGTTTTGGGTTGCCCTGTTTCCTGGTACCAAGTTCTAAAGTCTTCTGATAGCTGAATCGGTTTTTTTTTTTTTTTTCTTCATCATCGGAGTCATTATTTTTGATTGTAGAGGACTCTACGTAAAAACACACCTGATGGATGTAGAGGCTCTAGCCTCTGGTTCTTGAACGAGAGACCCAGGTTTTAACAAGTGAGGCTTGTTGAATCAGGATCACAGTTATTTTGTACCACGTGCGTTGCCCATGGACAGGGAGGAGGGACACAGCCCTGGTTTCCCCGGGCTGAGGTTCCAGGCTCCCCAGTAGGACAGGTTAGTGGAAGGAGGGGAGCTGTTGAAGTTATCTGGATTGTCCCGTGTTGTCTGCTACCATTAACATTGAAAATGGCAGTAAAGAACAGTAATTTCTGGCCAGAGATCTTCCTGAGGGTTGAGACGGTCTTACTCGTTGTCAGGTCTGCCTTTGGTGCTGGATTTAGAGTTGGGTCAACAACGTGTATTGATTTACAAGGAGTGGGTGGGGCCGCTGGAGGAGGGCCCCTACCTGTTCTGTTTCAGGCTGCGTTTTGGCCCAGGTTTCCTCCTCTGCCTTTCACTTGTGATCTTTTTTTGCTTCAAGCAGGAGCACACCTGCTGCCCTTTCTGCTCACAGCCTTGCAGCCAGGAGGAAGTGAGAGCTAGTCGCCTTACTCAGATACTCTGTGGAGCCACAAGGTTCCCTCTGATTCAGAACCAACCTGAACTCACTGTTGCCTTCTTATCAGTTGCAAAATCCAGCGAGTTAAAATCTTGGGAGAGATGTCAAATACTAACTCGTGCTTTTGTAAGTTACTCTTCCATGTGTAGTGAGGGAGGGAGAGACACAGAGACCCAGGCAAAGGCAGAAATAACAGCAGTCTTAGCCCCGAAATGAATATAACACATAGCTAAATCCTTAAGGGGAGTTCATTTTGTACTTGGCCCCCACGCCCCATCAGACTTTATTTTATTTATTTAATTTTTTTAGTATTTAATTTTATTTTTTATTTAGAAAAGTTTTACATTCCTTTATTTTCTTAAGTTTTATGTCTCCTTCACCCTCCCCATGGACGCCCCAGCCCCCAACCTCCAAGGGCAAGCCCCCATCACCCCCTTGTGTTATGCTAATATATCTGTGTCCATTGGTTATGCTAATATGCATGCATACAAGTCATTTTCTGTTTTAAGCTACTCTACACTGCTAGAGAGAGTAATCCAGCCAGGCCTATCTCAGGAAAGAGATACACTATTAATGGAATCTAGCAGGTTATGAATGGGAGGTGCTAGTATGATGTTATTAAATGCTTTTTAACTGCACCCACCCTTCTCCCCCTCCAAATATCCTGGGGTTCTGTCATAAGAACCCTATTTTTAGCTTATAAAAAAGAATAAAAGAGCCTTGTGTTTAAGGATTTCTGGGGTGAACTGAAAGAAGGATGCGGGCAATGGGCAAGGAGGGAGCACCTGTGAACTCTTCCATCTTAGGACAGCGCTCCACCCTCCGGCAGGCGCAATCCCAATGGCTCTTGGTGGAAGAAGCACTTGTAGGGCAGTGCCCCAACTAGCTTATTTTAGACCCAGGGAAAAATCCCAAACCGTGAATAATGTGATTTGAGGCTGTGTGGCAGCTTGAGAGTGTTTCTTCCTCACCATTTCAAGAGCTTTTTAAGATCTTAGATGTCGGACTGGCCAGGGGGCAATTCCTGCTCTGCCAGCAAACTTCCTGTGTGGCTGACCGTGGCTGGCACTCTACCCTTTCAGAGTCCCAGCATCCTCATGTGTAAAATGTGAGATGGCATTAAGACCTACGTCTTGCAGTTGAGAAATTTCATAGAGATATAAAATTTTTATATAGATATAAAAGTCAGGAAGGTCCTTGTGACAAGCAGAGTCTGGCAGGAAACAAAATTCAACTTAGTGTGCTGCAACAAAGAAACTTACTCAGAGGGGTATGTGCAGGATTCAAGGAACTGGCAAATGATGTCAGGTACCAAGACCTGGGAGCTGAAGAGGAAAGTGAAGGAAGTTTGAATGAAAAACTCCTTCATTATCTTTTCCTGATTCTTCCATTTTCCTTATTAGCATGCTACTGCCCAGTGAGAGCTGCACCTGCCATGTGGGGTGGGGGAAGCAGAGAGAGAGAGAGAGAGAGAGAGAGAGAGAGAGAGAGAGAGAGAGAGAGAGAGAGAGAACCTCAGCCCTCTTAGCCCTCCACCCCACAGCCCTTCCACTTCTTGCCAATGCTCTTCAGTGGTCAGACCCCACCCAAAGGTGGCTGCCCTGGGTCTGCAGGGGCTCCTCCCAGGGCACAGAATGGGGCAGAAAAAGGGAGAGCCAGATCTGGAGGGCAATCCAAGAACATAGTCCTTGGTAAATGTTTGCTCTTATTGCTTTGAAGAGTGACTTCAAAAAATATTTTTATTGATTTCAGAGAGGAAGGGAGAGGGAGAAAGAGATAGAAGCATCAGTGATGAGAGAGAATTATTGATCGGCTGCCTCCTGCATGCCCCACACTGGGGAGATGGAGCCCACAACCGGGCATGTGCCCTGACTGGAATCGAACCATGACTTCCTGGTTCATAGTTTGACACTCAACCCAAAGCCATGCTGGCTGGTTGAGAGTGACTCTTTATTGGCTTGCGATAGGCTAAAAATGATAAGACATACATGTCAAGTTACCCAAATTGTTAAAAACACTTCATCTGCCCCTTAAAGACACTGAATTTTTTCCCAGTGACTGTCTTAACATTTCACATACTACATTCATCATTTCTGAACTTCTGAGAAGTTCTTGGCTTCTGGTGTCCCTTTAGCAAGTAGTTTATTTATTTATTTTTTTGCAAAAACTGAAATATCTATTCTAGTATGTGAGTGAAAAACTCTGTTATTTTCTTTTTCTGATTCTTTCACTTACTTGTTCTGTTAACTCTTGGGGGAAGCCTGCATTCACTTGTGACCATACTGAGGGGAAAAAAAATCTGTGGTTTTAGTTTCCAGGCCAGGGTCTTATCTTAGTCTGACATCCTCTTAAAGATGTGATAGGTAAAATCATTTTATTTAGTTAGAAGCAACTACAGCACAGCACTTCAGATAGAGCACAGGAAATGGGTGATGGCGGAGGAGCCTCCACGGGTACCTCAGGATAAGCTTGTGGAAAGTTGCATTTCTGAATAGTGAGTCCCTGTCTGTCCAGCAAATACGGAGCTCTGGCAATTAGTAGGATATTTCAGATATAAACCTTCACCTACCCAAGATAAGTTAGGTAAGAACTTTTCTTTCCTATTTCAGGGGACTCAAGGAGTGGAGAATGAGTGTTTTGTTTTACTTCTTGTTTAAATCATCTGCTCATGTCCTGCCCACTTTGTTTTGGTTACAGAGTGTGACATTATCTGACTTTAGCCAAAGCCTTCTAAGTTTCCAAGATGGACGCAACTACCGGAGGGCATGATATGGACGTTATTAATTTGTTTGTTGCATGGTCATAGCCTAGGAGCTGTGAAAGCTGAGAAGCTGTCTCCTGATTTTAAGGAATTTCCACTTTGGTGGGTGGGGGTGATGCCCCGTGCCAAGGCTATTTTTACTGACTGGCGCTCCCACATTTTGTGTTTGCATAAAGTATCAATTCAGTGTTAAATTAGGATTATTTGGGTTTGTTTGTTTGTTTACTCCTTTCTTTTTCTTTTTTTTTTTCTTTCCTTCCTTCCTAATTTAATCAGCAGAAAACGGAGCAAGAGAAAATAGACCAGGAAATGATATTGAAATCAAAGCACAGCAAAGGTTTAGGACTATTAACTTAGTAAGCTTGGATGAAGGAAGACCAGCTCTGAAAAGCTGGCATTCTGGACTGAGGAGAATACCCGTGAGGAGTTGATAATTTTAGGAAGCGGGTAGAGGGGAGGGCTGTGACCACAAAGTTTCTTTACCAGCCTGCAATCTTGAATCACCCACTTTGTCCCCTTGCTCATTCGTGGAAAGCCCAGCCTCCACTTCTTTCTTATCTAAGGTTCTCCCTTCCTTAAAAGCTCAGCTCACATTCCACAGTCATTATTAAATCAATTAAATATTTATTTAACGCTATTAGTGCCAGGTACCTGGCCAGGTTGTAAAACCTAAAGATAAAAAAAGTCAAGATTTTCCCTGTCTGGGAAGCATTGATAAACCAGAGGAGACAAAGGACCCATATGAGTATGCAAGCGCAGTGTCCTCACAGGCCTGTGCGTGCCCATGGAGGTTTGCAGATGGAGGTTTGCAGATGGAGCCCAGGTGGAACAGGGAAGGGAAAGCCCTAGGACACATAGGACGCCTGAAGAACTTACTGTTTACCTTTGACATTTAGTAAATGTTACCTTATATTGTTAGTTACCTTGCTGCATTTATAGGCTGACTTTCAAACTAATTTAAAGTCTCTGGGAGGTGGAGGTTTTATCCCTTCTTGTATTCCAAAGAAATAATAGGCGCTCAATAAATGTTTATTATTAGTAACGATATATGCCAATGATGCTGATGTCTATTATGAAACTTCATTCTATAGAGCCTTGTGTTTTTTAAAAAAAAATATATTTTAATGATTTTTTACAAAGAGGAAGGGAGAGAGATAGAGAATTAGAAACATCGATCAGCTGCCAGGGGATGTGCCTGCAACCAAGGTACATGCCCTTGACCGGAATTGAACCTTGACCTTTCAGTCCGCAGGCTGATGCTCTATCCACTGA